GAGGCTGAGGCACGAAAATTGCTTGCTTGAACCTGGAAGGCAGAGGTTACACTGCACTCCAGCCTGGGTGAAGGAGTGAGACTGTGTCTCAAAAAAAACAATAATAAGGCTGGGCGCAGTGGCCTACACCTGTAATCCCAGCACTTTGGGAGGCTAAGGCGGGTGGATCACTTAAGGTCAGGAGTTTGAGACCAGCCTAGTTAACATGGCTTAATCCCATCTCTACTAAAAATACAAAAAAATAAGCTGGGCGTGGTGGTGGGCGCCTGTAATCCCAGCTACTCAGAAGGCTGAGGCAGGAGAATCACTTGAACCTGGAAAGCAGAGGTTGCAGTGAGCCAAGATCACACCACTGCACTCCAGCCTGGGTGACAGAGGGAGACTCCATCTCCAAAATAAATAAATAACAACAGTAAATATTATTTAACAATAAAAAAGAAGGAAATCCTGTCATTTTCTACAACATGAATGAACTTGAGAGCATTATGCTAAGTAAATTCAGATACAGAATGATAACTACTGTATGATTTCAGTTACAGGTGGAATCTAAAACAGCCAAATTCACAGAAAGAGAGAGTAGAATGCCGGTTGTTTGGGGCTAAGGGTTGGGAGAAATGGGGAGATATTGGACAACTTTCAGTTACAAGATGAATACGTTCTAGTATCTAATATCCAGCATGGTGACTCTAGTTAATAATACTGTATTATGTACTCGAAATTTGCTAAATAAGTAGATCTGAAGCAAATTTCACTGGGCTCAGTGGCTCATGCCTGTAGTCCCAGCTACTTGGGAGGCTGAGGTGGGAAGATCCCATGAGCCCAGGAGTCCCTGTGAATACAGTGAGTGATTGCTCCACCGCACTCCAGCTTGGGAGACAGACAGAGACCGTGTCTCTAAAAAATAAAAATAAAAAATGTTCTCACCATGGAAAAAAAAAACTGGTAACTGCGAGGTGACATATGTTAGCTAACTTGTGGTAATCGTTTTACAATGTATGTATATACCAAATCACATTGTATACCTTAAATATATACAATTTTATTTATGTATGATAAGTGTAAGATGTTATACCTCAGTAAAGCCGAAGAAAAATAAAACACCAAAAAATAGGAAGTTCTTTAGTAACTTTCTTACATATACCTGTAGTACTAACTCTATTTTCTTCTTGTTTTTGTTTTTCCTCTTTTTCATTATGAAATTTTTCCCATGTATAGAAAAGTAGAGAGAATAGTATATTGAACACCTACAGGTCTTGTTTTAACAGTTAGTATATTAATATTTTGCAATTATGTTTGCTTCATCTACATTTTTTGATGATGCATTCTGATGTAAATTGCAAATACCATGGCATTTCACCTCAAACGCCTTCCAAATGCATCTTTAAAAAGTAAAGACAGGACCGGGTGTGGTGGCTCATGCCTGTAATCCCACCACTTTGGAAGGTGGAGGCGGGCAGATCACCTGAGGTCAGGAGTTCGAGACCAGCCTGGCCAACATGGTGAAACCCTGTCTCTACTAAAAATACAAAAATTAGCTGAGTGTAGTGGCGCATGCCTGTTAGTCCCAGCTACTTGGCAGGCTAAGGCAGGAGAATCACTTAAACCTGGGAGGTGGAGGTTGCACTGAGCTGAGGTTGCACCACTGCACTCCAGCCTGGGCAACAGAGCAATACTCTGTCTAAAAAAAAAAAAAGAAAGACAAGCCTAGCACAGTAGCTCACACGTGCAATCCCAACACTTTCGGAGGCCGAGCAAGGAGGATCATTTGAGGCCACGAGTTTGAGACCAGTCTGGGCAACATAAGCAGACCCTGTCTCTGTAAAAAATTTTAAAATGAGCCAGATATTGTGGCACGTGCCTATAGACCAAGCTACTCACAAAGCTGAGGCGGGTGGATCCCCTGAGCCCTGGAGTTTGTGGCTGCAGTAAGCCATGATCATGCCACTGCACTCCAGCCTGGGTGACAGAGCAAGATCCTGTCTCTAAAAAATAAAAATAAATACATAAAAAGAAAGGCAATTCCCTACGTAACCATGATGCTGTTATCACACTTAATAAAATCCAGCTCCTTTTTAATCTATCTCCTGCAGGATAAGGAGGACCTATCATGATGGAGAGGGCTTCATAGAGAGAGAGCCTGTTAGAAAGTTTGGAAACAAATCTTCATCAATAGAAGATTTGTTAAGTAAATTGTGATATATTCATACTATGGATTACTGGGGAATATTAAAAATGATATAGTTCTATACATGGAAACACTTCTACAACATCACTAGGTTTTTTAAAAAGCATGTCTCAAAATAGTATGTACTACTCACATTTCATGTTCTGGGTGATCGTGTGATCCAGTTCTTGCTTTAAGATGCATTTGCATGTGTGTGGATGGTAACAAAGTCTGGAAGGATGTAAATCAAAATGCTAATAATACTTGATCTTGGGTGGCAGAGTTATGGACACTGGTTTTGTTTTTTTTTTTATGTTTTAGCTTTATCTAAATTGCTTTATTATTTGGGTCTTCAACCATAAGCACACAATAATGTTGTTGCCCTGCCTGATACAGAAGAGCAGGCATTGAGGAACGTCTGGGGAGATGCGTTCTTTGGCCTGTAGACACTCAGAATAAATGGCAGCTTTGTTTTTATAGTACAGGAAGGTGACAGTCCGTAATAAATTGTCATCCCAACAGAATTCTTATAATGACACTGAAAAACTACATATGGCCTTGTTTTGTTTTGTTTTTATAGTAAAATATACATAACGCAAAATTTACTATTTTTAAGTGTCTAGTGGCATTAAGTACATTCACAATGTTGTGTAGTTATACTGTCATCCATCTCCAGAACTTTCTCATCATCTCCAGTTGAAGCTGTATATCCACTAAACACCCCCTCCCTATTCCCCTCTCCTTCCAACTCCTGATAACTCTTGTTCTACTTTCTGTCTGGGTATCTCATATAAGTGGAACCATCCCATATTTGTCCTTCATGTCTGGCTTATTTCATTTAGTATGATGCTTGCAAGTGTCATTTGTATAGTAGCAGAATTTCATTCCTTTTTAAGGCTTGCATAATATTCCATTGAATGAATATACCATATTTTGTCTTGTCATCTGCTGATGGACATTTGGGTTGTTTTCACGTTTGTGGTTTTGTTTTTAAGTGATTATACTTTTGGAATCTGTTTTAAATTCAAGCATTGGAGACCTGAAAAGATTTCAAATCAACAAATATCCAGGGTGAAAATAAGAGAGAGGGGAGACAGATCAGCAGTGCCGCTTCATAAGACTTGAAGGAGCAACTTTCGAAGCAGAAAGCAGAAAAACAATCTTTTTTTCTCCTTCTTTTTCTCCCTATCTTTGTCACCTCTCCCTGCTCAATCACCTGATGGAAGTGGAGAAGTAGTAAAAACTAGTAACAGTTAACTGTGACTATTCCTCATCTAACTCTTCTGCTAATGTGGATGTGTTTGATTTTGGTTTTGCCTTGTGTTGTTTTGTTTTTTACTGCCTAAGAAGCAGGTAATTCTACCTCTTATTGTGACATTGCTTTTTGTAAGCTTAACCATAATTAAGATGCCATCTGTTGGATTGTTTTATACACACACAGAATTCATTCATTCGTTCACTGAAAAAAATATCTCTTTAGCACCTACTGTGAGCCAGTCATGCCCCACAGTGCGTAAAAGGGCTTGTCAAAAAGTAAATTGAAGCTGTGCGCGGTGGCTCACGCCTGTAATCGCAGCACTTTGGGAGGCTGAGGTGGGCAGATCGCCTGAGGTCAGGAGTTCAAGACCAGCCTGGCCAACATGGTGAAACCCTGTCTCCACTAAAAATACAAAAATTAGCCAGGCATGGTGGCGGGCACCTGTAATCCCAGCTACTCGGGAGGCTGAGGCAGGAGAATCGCTTGAACCTGGGAGATGGAGGTTGCAGTGAGCAGAGATCACATCACTGTACTCCAGCCTGGGTGATAGACTTAGAGTGTCTCGTAAATAAATAAAAAATGTAAATTGAAACAGTCATCCTCAGAAAATACAATTAAACTACACACAGCTCAATATTAAGTGACAGGCATGGGTGCAGAGTAAGGTACTAATGAGTGGCCCATCACCAGGACAAAACTTTTTTTCATGTCAGTATAACAACAGTTTCCTAAAATCATAGCTTTGTATCAAAGAACGTATGCATAGGACTGTGTTTCTTCATTACTGATATTTTTGGTGATTGCCCTGATCTTGTTTACCTGGTTGATCTTCCTGTCAGTTTCCACTTTCAAAGGAAAGCAATTGTATGGCAAGTACAGCTTACTTACCTGCAAATGAGTGAATACTTGTAACTGAATTCATAGAAGACTGGTGTAGGTTCAGTTCACTTTGTCACGTTCCCATATCTGATGTTCCACTTACACTGTTGGGCTTTCCCATCATTCCTGTCATCTGCCCCAGGAACAGCAGCTGGGGCAGAACTTGACTGGGTCACTGGAGAGAGCTGGTCACTGCAAACCCTTCAGCCTTGATAGTTTTCCCTTATGCAAAGTCACCACCGATGTGCCCTCCCTGAGGTACTGGCGAGGCTAATCAAGCTGTTTTCGTTTTCTTTTTCTTTTTCTTTTTTTTTTTTGAGATGGAGTCTTGCTCTGTCACCCAGGCTGGAGTGCAGTGGCACAATCTCAGCTCACTGCAACCTCCACCTCCCGGGTTCAAGAGATTCTCCTGCCTCAGCCTCCTGAGTAGCTGGGACTACAGGCACGCGCCACCACACCTGGCTAGTTTTTTGTATTTTAGTAGAGACGGGGTTTCACCATGTTGGCGAGGATGGTCTCAATTTCCTGACCTCGTCATCTGCCCGCCTCAGCCTCCCAAAGCGCCGGGATTACAGGTGTGAGCCATGGCACCTGGCCATTAACAGGCTGTTTCCTGAGCACCATTAAACTGGGTGGATCTTGTCACCTCAGAAAAGGTTTATTTGGTTTATTTTCTTTGTTCTCCCCTCTTGCCCTTAGACCACCATCTGCAAATAGCATAAGCAGCAGCGCGTCTTCGAATCATAGCGGCCACACTCCAGAGCCCCCACTCCCACCTGTTGGAAGTGACCTCGCCAGCCGACTGTCCAGTGATGAAGGGGAGATGGACGGAGCCGACGAATCCGAGAAGCTAGACTGTCAGTTCTCCACGCACCATCCCAGACCTCTTGCGGTAGGCCTCCTTCTGTTCCTTACTGTGCGTTCTTCGCCTGTGCTTTGCAGACACTTAGGTGATCATACCAAAGGCATGATCCTTCCTAAGGCAAGGCTGCCTGTGCAGTGTTTTACAAAAAGACTTACCGTGAGTTTTAACGATTGCCTTAGAAATACCCTTGAGCGTTACAAAAGGAAAGGAACGGGCTCCCAGCTGATTATAATCCCGAGTACTTCCACATACTACTAAAAAGAAAAAAAGAGGGTAGAATGGATAATCCTGAGTATTTATGGCCGACCTTGAAGCGAGCGTGCTTGAGAAATAGTGTTTCTATAAGTGCACTCAGGAGCTGATCCTCTGGCCTTGTCCATCTAAAAACGGAGCCTCTGATGTCCAGGGTTAGCTCGGTTCACCTGCTCTGGAAACCGTCTGTCTTAGCAGCACGTCAGGGGTCAGCCCTTGTTGGTATTCTCCCCTGTTAGTTCTAAGTATTACTGTTGTGTGACCATATGGCACCAGAACTGAGCGTGTGTGTGTGTTGAAGGAAAGAAGAAGCATTTCAGGTCACCATGATTGCTGATTAGTAAAAAGGGCACTTTCTTTCCCCTTCCTTGAATGAGTGCACGCTGACAGTTCAGAAGGTCATGGAAACTAAGGTGGGAAACAGGAGGCATCTGCTGGAGGCTTGTTTATTGTTTGTCTACGAGCACTTGAAAAGGGACTGCCTGGTGCTGCCATTGCAGAGCCGAATGCAGGGGCCTAGAACATGGGACCCCGTGGTGGTTTACTCTGGTGCCAGCCTGAGTCCTGCAGGATCAGCTCTGTCTCTAGACTGTGTAAGTGAAATCCATCCTGGCCCGCATCAAGATCAAGTGAATCCCTCTTCCCTCCTCTCCGTGTCATGAATGAAGGCCAAGTTCACTTTCTTTCCTGGGGATGATGCTTACCTGTGGCTCACCATCAGTCTGAGACTTTGCCTCTTGATTAGTACAGAAAGTAGTCAGGGACGATTAAGGATGCCTTTGACTGCCAGAAGTAGAACATTCAACTCATCTGGCACAAGCGCTAAGGTCATTTAATTATATCACATAGCAGGGAGTGTAGAGGCAGGTGCTCCCAAGCTTGGTTCAGCTTCTCCACGATGTCATGGAGCTGAGGGACAATCTCTACAACTCCCTCTACCTTTCACGCATGGTCCCAGTCCATCAGCTGCAGCTCTGACATTTCATCCTCACCCAGTGGTGTGCTACTCAGGTTGGAAAGGGACAAACAGAAAAGGGGTCTTCTTCCAAGATGCTGCCTTATGTTAGGAAAGAAAATCTTCCTATGAAAACCTCAGCAGACTTCCCCTTATATCTACCAGAAATGGGTCACATGCCCATCCCTAGATCAATTGGCAGCAGAGAAGGAAGGGGTTGCAGTGACGCAGGAGGAACCAGCCATGATTCATCCCAAGGTTCTGGGAGGAGACCGCTTGATTACTGCTCTGTGTCAGATATCAAAATAAAAGTGTGGTTCTGTTTGCAAGGACAAGACAGAGGTGGGAGTGGGTGGTAGTCGGTGAGGTTGGCAACCAGTAGGGTCTGCCACGGTGGCCCACGCAGTGAGGATCTACAGCTCTGCTGGAGGCGTAACATGCCAGCCAGGAACTGGAACTTCTCAGGGCCTAGCCTCGCATCTGTACAGAATCAGATACACAGGTAGCAAAGACAAAACGGTGCCTCCAGCTCCTGAGTCTGAAAGAAATACAAGGCTCTGCCAAAAGGCCAGACTCTGGAGCACATCGAGACATTTGTTCAGATGACAACCTGCCAGGCTACAGTGGATTCGCTAAACTCGGGATGTGGCACAGCTGTGTGCCCTTAATGTTTTGCTGATTTAAATGGAAAGGCCACAGATTTGTGTCTTTGCTTTGTCCTTTCTCTCACGGCCAGTTGATACATTAAATCATTGTTTGTAATGAATGCTTGCTCAGTGCATCTTTAGCAATTGGAAAGGGGGAAGAAATGATGTCTAGACCTGGAAGAGCTCCCACATGCTGCCGGGGACCAGCTTCTATGTCGGAAAATTCCCTTTGTATGTTTTCTTGCTTGGTCAGTAAGCACTTAACATGAAGGTGCAGAAAAGTGTTTTTCATCAGCAGTACCAGATTTGATGGGTGACAAGATTTTAATGCGAAAACCCCCAAAACACCAATAGAAACAGAACAAAGGGAAGGTCTTACATTTCCTCCTGAGAACTGTTCCAAAGTCTGGTTCCAGGACGGGTTTGTGGAATGAGTGCCAATCCAGCCCTGTGTCTGGGAGAGAGGCCAGGGAGCTGCTGGGAGGCCTGGAGGAAGGGGGAGAGCTGCTTTTGAGTTATAGAGTCATTTGCAGACTCGCTTGAGCCCTAAACCAGCCAAATGTCACCTTCTCTGAGGCTGCTTCTTGCATTTCTGTCTGAGAGCCTTCCGGTTGTCCTAACATCATAATCAAATGTTTATTAAACATCTGAATGCCGATATTTCATCCACGTATTTTAAGAGGGATAGTGTGCTTTAAACATTTTGTGGATCCCTGTCTCCCCAATCTATTTGTTAGCCCAAATGCCTACTATCCTCATACTAAGGAGAAGGAAGAGAATGGGCTCTCCTGTCTATACACTGATAGTCAAATCAGGTATGTAGGCATCCTGTGTATAACGTAAAACAGCCATGTCATGAGTCCAAGGCAAAATGGAATAAAGCAGGCAATGGGTGTGCCATGGGAATTCACAGTGGGAAGATCATTCAGATGAGAGCCACTGGAAATGAGAGTCTTGATAAGGGAACCGGGAGAGAGAGTGGGGAATTGGGATTGACAAAAAGAAGAAGGAAGGAGACAACGGGGAGAAGGAATAGTAGGAACAAAAGCTTCAAGGTGGTGCTGTGTCCCAGGACAGCCTACAAAGACTGATTGGAGGCAGAAATGCGGTCGAGACTGGGAAAGGAAGGCATTTAGCCTGGCTGGAAGCAAAGTAGCTCTGTCGACATCAGATAGGAAAGGTGGGACCTGGGACACTAGCACGAGGAGTTCCCATTACTATCATGAGAAGCAGGGAACCACCAAGTTCCTTGAGAAAATGTGGCTGATAATAGGACAGATGGTCCTGAAAAGTCACCCTGGGTGCTGGTTGTTTCTTTTTTTTTCTTTTTTTTTTTTTTTTGAGACACAGTCTCAGTCTGTCACCCAGGCTGGAGTGCAGTGGCACAGTCTCAGCTCACTGCAACCTCCACCTCCTGGGTTCAAGCGATTCTCCTGCCTCAGCCTCCCTAAGAGCTGGGATCCCAGGCGCCGCCACCACGCCTGGCTAATTTTTGTATTTTTAGTAAAAACGGGGCTTCACCATGTTGGCCAGACTGGTCTCAAACTCCTGACCTCAAGTGATCTGCCCACCTCAGCCTCCCAAAGTGCTGGGATTACAGGCATGAGCCACTGTGCCTGGTGTTATTTGTTTCTTAACCAAAAAATGCTGGCTCAATCCCAGGAGGAGAAAGCGTAGCCCCTCTGTGCCACAGAAAACTGAATGTAGCTATTGTTGAGTTGCAATGTGAGGTTCTGCAGAAGATCCAGAGCTCAAACTACAGAACTGCAGAAATATTTTTGGCTTCATATAGTTTGCTTCTTTATTTTGAGTAAAATTGTGCCCCTGTGTGTTTTTATGCAAATGTTATTTTTCTCTGTATAGTTTATATTAGCTTATTAACCTGTAATCAAAATTAAAATTTTTTTTTCCTCACAGTTTTGCTCATTTGGGAGTCGCCTCATGGGACGAGGGTACTATGTTTTTGATAGAAGATGGGATCGTTTTCGATTCGCACTAAACTCCATGGTAGAAAAACACCTGAATTCACAGATGTGGAAGTAAGTGAGCAGCTTTTGTGCAATATAAGATCCAAGCTGCCCCACAGTTACCTGAACCCTAACTTTCCAAATAAATGTCAGTGGCTGACTTTTCATAGAACAAAATGATTCTGAAGTCAGGATGTTTGATTAATTCTTAAATACCAGCTCTTCTTAATGGTTTACCTGAAGGTTTTGAGAAGCACAAATGATATGTTACATGCTTTGTCTTTTTTGGAGACCATTTTTGTGTTGGTAATCTCCTAAATGAGAAGGATATTAGATAATATGTTGTTTGTTTACCTATGTTAAAGGGCCTTTTTATTGCTCCTAGAGAATCTAAGGATATTAAGAACATGCTTCTGGCTGAGTGCAGTGATTCACGCCTGTAATCCCAGCACTTGGGAGGCCAAAGCGGGAGGATTGCTTGAGGCCAGGAGCTCGAGACCAGCGTGGGCAGCATAGCAAGACCCCATCTCTACAAAAAATAATTTTTAACAATTAGCTGGGTGTAGTGATGCACACTTATGATCCTAGCTACTTGAAAGGCCTAGGGTGGCAGGATCGCTTCAGCCCAAGAGTTCAAGGTCACAGTAAGCTATGATTGTGCCACTGCACTCAGCCTGGGCAATGGAGCGAGACCCTCTCTCTCTTAAAAAAAAAAAAGAAGATGCTTCTGTTTGTAATGTTAATGCTACAATATCAAAACTAAAGATTTCAGCCAGGCACGGTGGTTCACACCTGTAATCCCAGCACTTTGGGAGGCTGAGGTGGGCAGATCACCTGAGATCAGGAGTTCAAGACCAGCCTGGCCAACATAGTGAAACCCCATCTCTACCCAAAATACAAAAAATTAGCTGGGTGTGGTGGCACACACCTGTAATCCCAGCTACTCAGGAGGCTAAGGCAGGAGAATCACTTGAACCCGAAGGCGGAGTTTGCGGTGAGCCGAGATCGTACCCCTGCACTCCACCCTGGGTGACAGAGGGAGACTCCGTCTCAAAAAAAAAAAAAAAAAAATCTAAAGATTTCGTTATGGTTGTCGACCAATTTCTAGTTGTTTGCTGTCCTGTGAAAACATCTGTACACTTGCCAACAGGGCAGATCCTGAGCAATGCTGTGAAGTTGGTTAAGTTTGTCTTTGGCCCTTCCCATCTCCTTAGGACCCCCTGCCCACCTCTACTTGTACTTCTCTACCCTAAACTCCAACTGATGTTCCCTTTCTCTTAAGTTCCTTTACTATCCACTTTCCAGTGTACTTATATTTTAATAGGGGATTCATAAATAGGGAAGAAGCCTTAATCTGGAAGAATGCTATTGGGAAGAAATAATAGGCCTAGACCCTCTCAAACCACAGCACATAAGTGGCTACCATTTTGACCACTTGATAATACAAGGCTGGCCCACTGGGTATCCCCATCCCCCACTCCTACAAAGGTGAGCTCTCAAGATATCATCGTCCATTTGAGTCATGGATCACGTAAATCTGGGCCTAGACAGTCCAGGAAAGACAACAGCTGAGGGCCCCCACCTGCCCACTGAGGCCCAGTAGAGTCAAGGAAGGGATTCCTAAGAAATGGGAGGGAACAGAAGTCAAAATTTGCCCCTTTCCCAGGTTTCCTCCTCTCCCCCAGGCAGCTACGACACCTTAGGCCGCTTTCTGGAAGCCTAAAGAGCTCCAGACCTGGACTTCCCCCATTTGTGTCTGAATTGAGCTCTCATGGCAGACTTAGCACTAAATGTTAACATTTACTATAAGGTAGGTAAGGGCCACAAGAGAAGCTTATCATTTCTTCCCATTTAAGTGACTGCCCAGTGTGTCTAAAGGGCACCCTTGATATTTGCTTGTGTCCATTCCAAACAGCAACAAATTGGTGCTGCACGTGGGGTGACCGTGCTCTCAGTTACTTGGTGATTGAGCCTCTGTGCTTGTTCCCCACGATGGCGGCCAGCCCTGGTGATCCTCGCAGCTCTTTGCTCCCTGTGTTATGGAAGTGTCAACCCCGGACACGTGGAAGGAATGTGTTGATCTGTATTTCACTCCCTGGTGTCCTGTCAGCTCAAGCTCCATATTCCTTTCCTCCTCAGGCACAGAAACCCGAGCCACAGGGCATCAGGTCCCTCCCCCCTGTTCAGGACTTGCCTAACCAATCTGCTGTCACTGAGCAACATTGGGGCTGCCTGGGTGTCAACTCTGGAGAGCGTAGCACCCCGCTACCCTCTCAACCTCGCTGCCCAAACCCCAGGCCCCGGCGGGCCCGAACCTGGAGGGATGGCAGCCGATGGGGGCGTGGAAGACATTAGGAAGAAAAGGAACGGCCAAGACTCTTTTTTCTTTAACAAGCATTTAACTCTGCATCAGGAGCCGCCAACACAGTATTCTCTTTCAGCCAGGTCAGCATCTGGACCTCCATGCCACCTGGCAGGGGAGGTTGGGCACTGTCAGTAATTTATTTGCATCTGTGGGCTTTAGTGTGGGACTTCCCTGGGCCAGTGTGCAAAGCTTACACCAGGACACAGCCCAGCAAAGCTGAAATCCACTGTCATTTAGCACCTAGAAAAACACATAAGCTGTTTAGCCTCGGCGGGGAAGGGACTCCTGGGGACAGGGAGCTGCCACATGCCCCTCACCCTGTTTCTCCCCTGCCCTATCTTCCTTCCTGCCCTACTATCCCCTTTTGATTAGTGAGGCAAGAAAGGGATAGAAAGTGTGCCTAAAAAGAGCACCCATCCCAGTCCTGAGTGTCAGCCAGGTAAGATTTAGGACTTCAACTCTGCTACTCAGCACAAGTTGAAGCGTGAATTTATACTAGTTAATTGGAAAATTATAAATTGAGACATTAAAAATGGATCCCATTCAGGCTGGGTGCGGTGGCTTATGCCTGTAATCCCAGCACTTTGGGAGGCCGAGGCAGGTGGATCACAAGGTTAGGAGATCGAGACCATCCTGGCTATCACGGTGAAACCCCGTGTCTACTAAAAACACAAAAAATTAGCCGGGCGTGGTGGCGGGTGCTGTAGTCCCAGCTACTCGGGAGGCTGAGGCAGCAGAATGGCATGAACCCAGGAGGCAGAGCTTGCAGTGAGCTGAGATTGCGCTGCTGCACTCCAGCCTGGGGAACAGAGCAAGACTCTGTCTAAAAAAAAAAAAATGGATCCCATTCAAATTCATTGATTGGAATCCTCTCTAAATGAGCCATCTGGTATTTGTAAATAACTTTTTATTACAAGTAACTGCCAAACCTCTGCCCACATGTATTTCTATCTATACTTTAGTGGGTAAGCAAACGAGTCAAGGAAAGATGGAGTGGGTTGCCTGTAGTACCACAGCAAGGCAACAAAAGCACCCGGAAAGTTGGGAGGGGTCTCCCCCTCTAAGAAATGTTCCCTGCCCCTGTTAGGAAGGGGTTGTGCGGGGCCAGACAGTTCTAAGGATGTGTGTAGACATTTCCAACCTGATCATATGGGAGTCCTTGCCCACCATGCATAGTCCCTGACCATATGGATATGGTGCTGCTGAGAATCCACCTGCTCACCCATCCACCTACCCATTCATCCATCCATTCATTCACTCATTCATTCATTGCAACAAGTATTTATGGGGCACCTTGCTGAGTGCCGACAGGATCTCTTACCTTCTTTAGGCTTGAGAGAATGTAAATTCTCAACGCCATCATGGCCGTTGTGAGTTTGGCAACATTTTTCTCTTATATTTGATCCCTTTGGTCTGACATTTTCAAGGACAAGGATTCCTCTGGATTCTACCCTAAAGATGGATGTCACAGGCTCCACCAAAGTGCAGGCCAAAAGCAGAATCTCCAGAGAGGAATGCTAGGAGAGACGTTTATCTCTCAGCAGTGCCTCTTCCCAGAGTTCCCTGACACCTGGTCCTGATGCTACAGCTGGGAGAGTGGCCTCCAAAGAAGAGAAAGGACGGTGTGAGGCCCTGTCTTGCATGTGTTCTAGCCCACAGGGGCACAGGCTCTGGGCCTGCTCATCTTCATGTGCTGCTTTCAAAGAAGGAAAGCTAGTTCCTAATCGCTAGTGAACCCCAGCTACAGTGAAAATGATTTCCCAGGGAAACCGGGAGAGGGAGCAAGGTGAGAAATGGGAAAGGACCAGCTTGAACACATTTACCTGGCTCCCGAGGACCATGTGCTTTCCTGCAAAATCAAGAACAAATGTCCCTGTGGCCGCTGTGCCTCCTCCCGGTCCCCAGAGTAGCAGCAGCAGCATCCCAGGCTGTAGGATGAAAGGAGGAGTCACTCCCAGCGCAAATCAAAAGATGGAGTTTGCAGGGAGGCCCCAAGAGTAAGCCACAGCCTAGTGCTGGCCTTGGCTCCAGGGAGTTTGCTCTGAGGCACCCCCCAAGCTCCAAGAAGACCAAAGAAGAAAACAGTGGGTTTCCCCTCCTCTCCTGTTTTTCTCCTCCTGTCCACATCCTACATTTATCTTCAGAACAAACTACAAATCCCTGATCTCCTTCTCTGGACACATGAGGGTCCCCACACTCACCTTTTCCTAACACAGGACAGGAAGACCTGCTAAAGCCACACCCCAGACAACTCCTCTGAGCAAGAGCTAAGGTAGAGTGGGCTGAATAGGAAAAAACAAAGCTAGTCCTAGGAATGGGCAACTTGCCATCCCACCATTCCCAAACCCCTCACCGTCCACGGCCCAGCCACCAGGAGCCAGCAGCCACGAGTCAATGTGGAAACGGCTCTCTGTGGAGGGAACCAGAGGCTGCAGACAGCAAAGGCAGGAGGATGCTGGCCTTGGAGAGGGCCATTCTCCAACTGCCTCCAGCCCAGAGCACGGTGAGGAAAGCCCCAAGAGTCCCTGGGCAGAAGCTGGAGTGGGTGGAGGGGGGAAGCTCTGGCCCCTGTGTCCAGGTAGCAAAGCCCTGTCCTCACATTTCTTACTTGCAACCAGGACCTACATGTGAAATGATCACTTCTCATTAAAAACCACCTTCATCGCTGCCAAAAAAAAGAGAGTTGTGGGGGAGGCGGGGTGGCGGTGGTTGAGAGAGAATACTGGGGAAATTTTTATTCTAAATAACATTGACCTTTTATTCATGAACCAAAATCAGGCCTTCTCCAGTAGCCAAGCCTGGAGAAAAGGATCTGAAAGGCTGAGTGTGATGAAAATTAGGTTGCTGGATGTTGCAATGGGGGGTGCCATAAGGAGGGGCCATGCTTCAGATTCTCCCATCCTTCAAGGCTCCATTCTCCATAGTCTGGTTCTGCCGGGGTGTCCTCTGGAGCCCTGATGCTCAAACGTCATCGAGCCTCCTAAGCAATGCCAACCCGGTGTCTCACTGATTCTTTCACTCTTCTCTCATATTTAGGAAGATCCCTCCTGCGGCAGATAGCCCCCTGCCCTCGCCAGCAGCCCACATCACCAACCCTGTTCCAGCATCCGTTTTGCAGCCTTTCAGCAACCCCAGTGCTGTGTATCTTCCTTCAGCTCCCATCAGCTCGAGGCTCACCTCTTCTTACATAATGACATCAGCCATGCTCTCAAACGCAGCTTTCGTGACATCGCCGGACCCGAGCACCCTCATGTCCCACACCACAGCTTTCCCTCATGTGGCCGCAACCCTCAGCATCATGGACTCAACCTTCAAGGCCCCATCCGCCGTGTCCCCGATACCAGCTGTCATCCCTTCCCCATCCCACAAGCCATCCAAAACCAAAACCAGCAAATCCTCAAAAGTCAAAGACCTGTCCACCCGTAGCGACGAGTCTCCAAGTAACAAAAAGAGGAAGCCACAGTCTTCGCCTTCCTCCTCCTCCTCCTCCTCATCCTTGCAGACATCCCTCTCGTCTCCACTGTCAGGGCCTCACAAAAAGAACTGTGTTTTGAATGCCAGTTCTGCTTTGAACTCCTATCAGGCGGCCCCTCCCTATAACAATCTGTCTGTGCACAACTCAAACAATGGGGTGAGCCCACTCAGTGCCAAACTGGAGCCCTCAGGACGGACCTCGCTGCCCAGCGGCCCCGCGGACATAGTGAGACAGGTGGGCGCGGTGGGAGGCAGCAGTGACTCCGGTCCCCTCTCTGTGCCCTCCCTTGCGCTCCACGCAGGGGACCTCTCTCTGGCCTCACACAATGCTGTGTCTTCTCTGCCCCTCTCTTTTGACAAATCAGAAGGAAAAAAGCGTAAGAACTCAAGTTCTAGTAGCAAAGCCTGTAAAATCACTAAAATGCCTGGTATGAATAGCGTTCACAAAAAGAACCCGCCCAGCCTTCTCGCACCGGTGCCCGATCCCGTTAACAGCACCTCCTCTCGGCAGGTAAGGGACCTCCTGGCACCGCCTTCACCGGCTCTGGGGGGGCAGGGGGAGCTGGGCAGCGCCCCTGCTTAGCCGGGCGGCTCCAACAGGTAACACAAGCTTGACTCCTTTTCTCATTTTCCCTGAAGGCAGTTTTCACCCTCTGCTTTGAGAGCACTTTATTGAACAAGTACTTGATACCACACTCACTATGTGCTAGGCGCTATTTTCAGCACTTTACGGTTATTACCTCACTGAATCCACATGACACCCCAGTGCAGTGGGTGCAGTTATCACTTCACAGATGAGTAAACTGAGGCACAGAGAGATTCTGAGTTCCCCACTCCACATCGGTCAGTTTTATCTTTTGAGGTTCTGAGGACATTGTCATAAAGAGTTCTGTTGCTAAGAAGTTTGATCTGATCTGTTGGAACCCCCTTAGGAAGAGCTTGAGACCCAGGCAGGTTAAATGCTGACCCGGGGTCCCACCTGGGAATGGGAGCGCCTGTGCCTGGCTCCCAGGTGACTGTCCTTCCCACTTTCCTAGGCTGCCTCGACCCCCACCTCCTCCTGATAGAACTCTTTCCTTCCTAAAGGAAAACTGCACCTGCCACCAGCTGGCAAGGAAGTGTTCAATGCCATGGTACAGATAGGAGTGTGTATGGTGAGGAGGCTGAGAGAGTGTGGCGTGGCCTGAGAAGGATACATGTTTCTTTCCCTTGAGCTCTGTTCTCATCCCTGAGTTTAGTCCTTCTCCTCCGGCTGGGGGGGCTACTTAGGAAAGCCCACCCCCACCTCCGCCCCCACCCCAGCCTCTGGGGCCGGTTGGGCACATAGATAAGGGAGCAGACGTGGGGAAGGGCCCAGCCTGGGATTCTCTGTGGAGCCAGGTCTGACGAGAGGGCCAGGCAACCCGCCCGGGAGCCTGGACCCATCAGGGCAGTGTGTCCAGAGACCATTACACGGAATCAAGGGAACCAAACCCCAAGCCCAACTCCACCTAGGGTTGAGGACTTTGGAGCAATGGGAGGCAGTTGTCAAGAGATATTTTAATGTTTTATGTCACCACTTATGAGACTTGTTATAACCTCACGAAGAGCACAGCCTCAGGGGGAGTCACAAATCACAAACACATGAGAAACAGCAAGTTTGGAACCCAAAGGCCAGACAAGCTGCAAACCGAGGCCAAGGTGAGAGGAGGGGGAGACACAGGTCCTCTCGCTTGAGCCGAGGGCACTGTTCTGACTCCCCACGGCCAGGGTTGTGAGGGAGGCGGGCCGGTACCCACAGGGCTCTCCCTGGAGGCTAAACTGCTGGTGGGTGTCACCACCAGGGCCCAGGATAGAGGACAGAGCCAAGGCCTCTCAAGCTTGAACGTGTACACGAATAATTCCGGGGGGCATGTGAACCTTCTGATTCTCGGTCAGCAGACCTGGGCAGGGGCCTAGGAGTCTGCATTTCTGACAGTCTCCCAGGCCACATGGCTGCACAGGTTTGCAGGCCACACGTTGGACAGCAAGGCCGTGGTATCTCACTCATTTTAGATACAGTCCCAGCAGCTAACACGTAGGTGATAGGCGCTGTTCCAAGTACTTCAGGTGTATTAACTCATTTTATAATTACTTGCTGTTATTCCCCTTTTACAGATGAGTGAACCAAGGCACAGGAAGGTTAAGCAAGGCACCCAAAGTCACACAGCAAGTCAATAGTTAGGCTAGGATTTAAACCCAGGCATTTTGGCTCTGGAGTCTGGCCTCTTAGCCTCTGTGCCATTAACAGAGTCCCTCTGTGTTGAGTAGATGTGGCTCTGTTGATTCTTTGGTCCGCAGGACTGTAGGAAATGCTTAGTAAATGCCGAGTCAGCCAGAAGCAGTGGTGAAAGGAGCAGCCAAGTGCTCATCAGGAGGGAATTGAAAAACACGGATGCATTTAATGACTGCCTTGGATCTGGTCAGCATTGGTTCTCTAATGCAGGTGATACCTCGGTGCTTGTCACTAGGGCATTAAGAAAAGGCTTTATCACCAGTGATTTCCAAGTATTAAGGAAAGGCAAAGGCCCTTGGGATCTGTGTTAATTCTGCTAGGAGATCAGGGGTCAATGCATGAGATTGAGAAATCCAAGATAAACCTTTACTTTGGGAATAATTTGGAGATCTATTTAATTGTATCTGGTTGGTACAAGGCCAGAAGTTGCCACAGGGCTATTAAACGGAACAAAAATTAAGACTGTGAATGTAGCCAGGTGCAGTGGCTCTCACCTGTAATCCCAGCATTTGGGGAGGCCGAGGTGGGTGGATTATCCGAGGTCAGGAGTTGGAGACCAGCCTGGCCAACTTGTCTCTATTAAAAATACAACAATTAGCCGGGCAGGGTGGCACGCACCTGTAATCCCAGCTACTCAGGAGGCTGAGGCAGGAGAATCGCTTGAACCCCAGAGGCAGAGGTTGCAGTGAGCCAAGATCATGCCACTGCACTCCAGCCTGGGTGACACAGCAAGACTCTGTCTCAAAAATAAATAAATAAAATAATGTAAGGCAAATGTCTTTACATAAAGGCAAGTTAATGGAGAAGAGGAGCAGTTTATAGGATGAAAGTTCAAGCTGCCTTTGCAGACTAGACAGGGACTGGTTAATGCCTGGCATCAGCTTTCCCAAGGACCAGGCCCATTGTGTGAAGGACAGTCCCAGAGGAAGGGGAAGGGCACAGTGGCCACACCCATATGCACAGCGTTCCTGTCCTCCCTCCATGTGAAGGAGAAGCCCAGCACCATCGTGCTATTTTCCTAAAGGACAGTCGCATGTGCGTTACATCTCCTAGCCAGGAAAACTGACCCAGCAAAAGATCCAGGTGTTTTATCTGCAGCCAGGTTGAGGGAGTCTGGGCTGGAAACGAGATGGGTTTGGGATGGAGGGTCAGAGGTGGATAAGCTGTGTGACCCTTTGGCCACAGGTAGAAAAGCCCAGCCTCTACTGAGTGAAGCTCCCAGGAGGGGCCAGGCTTCTCCACCAGATGCCTTCATCCTCATCCCTCCCTGTTGGGGTCCAGCCAGCTAGCGAGCAGTGTGAGGAGTCCTCACCATTCCACTTTAACTCTGGGAAGGAAAGGGCATCCCTCGAGGCACCCTCTGCAACATTTTCATTTTCTCTGCCACTTAAGATGGAAACACCAGTTCCAAGCCAATGTGAGGGAATGAAGCAGGCATTGTGCAGCCCTTCTTTCCCCTAGAACATGTGGCATCGGCGGGCCCTTCCCAGGCTGGCTCAGGTGTCTGAGTGGGGCTTCAATGGTGTCTTTCAGGTTGGGAAAAATAGCAGCCTAGCTTTGTCACAATCCAGTCCTTCAAGTATATCCAGCCCAGGACACAGCCGACAGGTAAGTTGCTGGGGGCGGGGTGGGCTGGGGGTGGGGAGGCAAAAATTCATATGGTCATCAGCAGAGTGGAAAGAGTTTGGGCATTGGGGTCAGACCCTGATTCAAACCTCATCTCCAGTTAAGAGCATGGCTACCTGGCTTCCAAACCTAGGCCTTCTAGTTAGCTGTGTGCCCTTGGGCAAATTACTTAACTTCTCTGTGCTTCCATTTCCTCCATCTATAAAGTGAGAATCATACTGGCCCCTACCTTCTATGGATTTTGTGAGGATTAGCTTATTGATGTAAAGCCTCTAGAAAATGCCTGGCACACAGTAAACCCACAAGTGTTAGCTATTATTACCAGCTGTACAAGCTTAGGCACATTACTTCTCTGAGTCTGTTGTGTTTTTTTTTCATTCATTAAAAGGCAAAATTGGTGCTTCCCTCCTAAGGCTATTGTGAATATTAAAGAAGATGATGTGGTTTAAAGGGACTTGCGGCCGGGCGCAGCGGCTCATGCCTATAATCCCAACACTTTAGGAGGTTAAGATGGGTGGATCATGAGGTCAGGAGTTTGAGACCAGCCTGGCCAATATAGTGAAACACCGTCTCTACTAAAAAATACAAAAATTAGCCAGGCGTGGTGGTGCGTGCCTGTAGTCCCAGCTACTCGGGAGGCTGAGGCAGGATAATTGCTTGAACCAGAGAGGTAGAGGTTGAAGTGAGCCGAGATTGTGCCACTGCACTCCAGCCTGGGTGACAGAGTGAGACTCTATCTCAAGAAAAAAAAAAGCGGGAGGGACTTGCCAGCCAGGTGTGATGCCTCACACCTATAATCCCAGCACTTTGGGAGGCCAAGGCAGGGGGATGGTTTGAGCCCAGTAGTTTGAGACCAGCTTAAGCTTGAGACCCTATCTCTACAAAAAATTTAAATAGCCAGGCGTGGTGGCACATGCCTATAGTCCCAGCTATTCGGGAAGCTGAGGCAGGAGAATCACTTAAGTCCAAGAGGTTGAGGCTGCAGTGAGCTGTGATTGCACCTTGCACTCCAGCCTGGGCAACAGAGCAAGATCCTATCTCAAAAAAAAAATTTTTTTAGGCCAGGCACACCAGTGGCTTTATGCTGTATCCCAAGCCACTTCGGGAGACGAGGCGGGCCGATCACGAGCCAAGGAGTTTCGAGACTAGCCTTGCCCAATGGGAACCCCATCTCTACTAAAAATGGCAAAATTAGCCGAGGCGCGGTGCAGCCTGTAATCCCCAGCACTTTGCGAAGCCGAGAACGGTGATCCACGAGGGTCAGGAGATTGCGAGACCCATTCCTGGCTAACACGGTGAAACCCCCCCCGTCTCTACTAAGAAATACAAAAACTAGCCCGGGGCGAGGTGGCGGGGCGCCTGTAGTCCAGCCTCCTCGGAGGCTGAGGCCTGGAGAATGGCGTGAACCCAGGAGGGCGAGATTGCAGTGAGCTGAGATCCGGCACTGCACTCCAGCCTGGGCTACAGAGCGAGACTCCGTCCTCAAAAAAAATAAATAAATAAAAATAAATAAAAATAAAAAAAAAAATAAAAATAAAAATGCAAATAGCTGGGCAATGGTGGTGTGCACCTGTAATCCCCAGCTACTCAGGAGGCTGAGGCAGGAGAATTGCCTTGAAAAAAAAAAAACTTTTTTTTTTTTTTTTTTGAGACGGAGTCCTCGCTCTGTCGCCCAGGCTGGAGTGCAGTGGCCGGATCTCAGCTCACTGCAAGCTCGCTCCCGGGTTCACGCCATTCTCCCTGCCTCAGCTCCCGAGTAGCTGGGACTAACAGGGGCCCCGCCACTCGCCCGCTAGTTTTTGTATTTTTTAGTGGAGACGGGTTTCACCATGTTAGCCCATGTTGGGGATGGTCTCGATCTCCTGACCTCGTGATCCGCCGTCTTCGGCCTCCCAAAGTGGCTGGAATTACAGGCTTGAGCCACCGCGCCCGGCAAAACTTTTTTTTTTAAGAGGAGTGGGAAAGGCTTTGCCCGTGGTATCTGTCCATCAGCACTCTCTCAAAAGCCTCTGGCGAACTACAGCCACCATTCAGGATGCAGTTTCATGGCAGCAGTATTCAGGGTAGACTTAGTAGTTTTTATAAACTTGAGGTATAAGAGTAGTTGATGTGTACGCCTGTGATAAATGATTTTCTCAATGGGGTGTGTGCATATGTGTCTAGGGCGGACAAGGAAGGATTTGGGGGTGGCTTTTGCCCCTTACACATGATTGGAAGATGTGTGGGTGTACGTATGTGTATAACTGTGTTGTTATGTTGCCTTAGATGTGCCGCATGTTTTGTAGACACCAAACAGAAAAATATCTACGTGCCTGTCTGTGTTTTGCCCTTTGGGATTTTCTCACACATTTTGGGTCGAGTTTGGGTGAAGATTATGGGGAAATGGTTTTTGTATCCCCAGGCCAGGGAGAGTCTCCTCACCATTTTGAGCCCTTTTTGTGCCAGAACACTTGCAGCTCATCATGTGTGCTGGGGTGGGGAGGCACGTTTACACGCAGACCATCAGCCTCTGTTGATGAGGCCTCTTGCACCCTTACCAAACACGGCTTGCATGTGCCTATAGCTCCAGCTACACCTGCTGGGAACCCAAAACGCTGGCAATCAGCCCTGACAAACACAATAATGGCCACCACTTGTTTAGCACTCTCTGCCTGCAGAGAGAGGGCTGTGTGCCATGTCCTTTACACACACTACACACATTTAAACCTTTTCACAACCCTGTGAGGGACAAGATGATTATAGATGAAGATGGCTACACTAAGAAGCCAAGTAACTTGAACCCAAAATCTCTCTTTCCAAAGCCTCTATGTTTAACCCAACACTAGCCTCCTTCCTGAGATAATTTGCTGTGTCCTCTGTAAGTTAGGTAGGAAAAGGTAAACTAATGGAGAACAAAAACGAAGGCATCAATTATCCTCTCCACTCTCCCACAGAGGCCTCCCAGGAATGTACGCAGCATTCGTCCTTGTGTTTTCCTCCACAGTGAGGACCTCTGTGACTGCCTTACACGCATGGATCCATCACCTCATTTGCTATTGGATCCTTTAGATCCATCATCTCATTTGCTATTTCAGCTGCCCTTTGCCAGATACGGGAGGTGGGATATTGTCCTCTCTATTATAGATGAGAAAACTGAGGCTCCATCCTTGAATTATCATGGGTAATCTCAATTGTATGGTTTTGAAACAAGTTTTTCTTTTCTTTCCTAGAAGAACACAAACAGAACGAGCAGGATAAGGACTCTTCCATAACAAGACTATGAAGCCACTTCCACACCAATTCCAGGCCACCTAATCCCATCCCAGGAGGCCACGGGGAGGAGGAGGGAGGGGAGTGGGCTGGAGGGAGAGTCTGTTTTCTGTGTACTCCCTGTGACTCTGGCCTTTCTTCTTCTTTTTTAATTGACCAATTTTTAGTTTTAAAGAAAAAGGCAAAAGAACGTGAATTTGAGATTTACAGAAAACAGTTCCAGTGTTTGGTTTCCGTTGTCTTTTCTTTCATTTGCCATGTTTTTACATTCTTCCAAATTTGGGGTCATTCCCCTAGCTCCTGATGCTGCTACTGTACCATCCTTTTGCTCCAGCCATGACAGTAGACATTGCAGAATGTTGGTTCAGGTTGGCATGCTCTGAAGCTCTTGAACTTCAGCACAGGCAGAGCCCTTTTTCTTCCTGTCCTCTCCACCCGATCCCTTCCGTCCCCACATCTGCCACTTTCTGGGTCCTCACTGGCCTTCAAAGGACCTGGCTCTCCTAGGATCCCCTCAGGACTGCCTGCAGGGAGAGGGGACTTTGCTGGGGAGGAGCTGAGAGTGGAGCGTTGGAGGGTGGGTGGGGTTCCCTCATCGGGTTTCCACAGCCCACCATGGCTGGAGCCAAATGCTAGAAGCAAGATTGAGAACAGTGGCCATTTAGTCATGTGGTTTACCTAATACCACTGGCCAGCTGTGCAGCTCAGAAAGGATAAACCAGTCAGGGACAGGGGCCAGAACAGGTTTGGGAAGGTGGCAGCAAACAGAGCATGGTGGCTAGGAGATGACCCCTAAAAAAAAAACTGGGGACTGTGGTGGTCTGAGCTGGTCAGGAATCTACAGAATCCCTTCCAGGGATCAGTGTGCCCATGCCCACAGCAGGGTGAACTAGGAGGGAGAAATCCCAGGAAAAAGGTCATGAGAACCCAGAAAGCCACTCCATGAGGAGGCACAGTGACCACAGCTGCTAAAGGTTCTTAGGCTGCCTTCCTGGGCTAGGAAGAGCCCTCCAGGGAGAGCTTCTGCAAAAGGGTATGTGTCACACCTTTTGTGAGAAGAAATAATAGCATTTCCCACCCACCCCCATGCCCTGGGCCACAGGGACCTGGTGGGATCAGCACACCCATGGATCAGCTTTTGCTGTGTGAGAGACAGCCATCCCCAAGAAGGAATGGTAAGGACAGCCACTGCTCAGTGAAGAACAGCCATTTGGAAGAGCCATGCTGGAGCCCTGCAGCCATAGAACTATTCACACTGGAGTTTTGAAAAAAACAGCAATACCGTCAGCTCTAGTAGGGAATCATAATCAGGAAAGGAATTCACAACATAAAATAGGTGTTCTGTGCTATTAATCATGTAACTTTGCATACGATGTATAGCAGAGATACTGGGAGGTTTTGCTTCATCCCTAAATCAGAAATGAATGCTAGTTTCACAGCTGGGCAGAACCCTCATCCCCAACCAGAAGTTTTCCTTTTCTTTCCCATTCCCCCAACCCAAAGATCAGACCACTGTTAGGTTTCACCACACAATTGGAATTGCAAAGACGGGAGGCAAATGGAGTGATTTGCGTCAATGGAATTGCACTGACAGTGAGTGTTTCTTATAGGATTACTAAATTTTTTCATACGAAATGATTTTTTTAAAAATCAGGAGTTGATATTAAGTACCAGGACATTAGTTCGGATGATTTCATTTTTATTTCTGCAGTGTTAAAAGTGCACTTATATGCTGGTTTATTTACGTCTTGGGGAAAGAGACTGCAAAGTGAAGGGACGATTGTTACTTTTTCTTTTTTAAAAAAAAAAGTTAAGGCAGATTTTAAGACTTATAAATGTTTAAGAAATTATAAACAAGGTTAGACCCTTTGAAAAAAAATTTAGAAGATATTCTTAAAGTAAATTTTTATAGTGTTAATTTTGTAATAATTTATGTTTTACTATATTGCAGAGCTAACTGACCAGAATAGTTTCAGAAACAATATGAAACTTAGGAAAGTTTAAGCAATGTTTATATTTTTAAACTGTTCTTTGAATTATGTTTTTATTGTACATTTCTTCAGACTAAAAAGTATGTACATATCTTTGTTATTTTTGCACAATTTTGTCCTGTTGGGTTTCAGAGGTCTGTTGTTTTTTATAATTTATTTTGAGTTGTAAAACTTGCAGGAGTAAAAACAAAACAAAATCTCCGCAACAAAATAACCCTCTGATTTATAAACTCTTATGGTCAAAGAGGGAAAACAAAGGTTGAGAGATTAAGTGGCTGCTTCTGAGAAATAATGTCTCAAGGACTAAAGGAGCAATTCAATAGGTTTAGAAATTGTAGCTCTCTACATCTTGAATTGGAAGCTGGAATAAAGAGCCCCCCCACCCCCCACCCCCTCATCAAATGCTGCTTACTTTGTCAAAAGACTGGCTATGACCAAGGTGAGGACATTTCTGGAAAACTGGGCAAAAAGGGAAAGCCCACGGTATTCTTCCTTTGCAACCAACCACAGGTTTACTTTACAGTGATGTGTTAAAAACTTGCAGCTTGAAAAACGGAATACAAATAAAAATTTGTCTTAATGGAGTTAAACTGGAGCAGCCTATAAAACATTTTTAGGGTGATGTCCTCTGGGTCCTTCTGTTCTGCACACCCACTCAGTCTTCTCTCCCGGCCCCTTGACTGCACACACCCCTCTTTGCCTGAAGATCTCCTGACTTGTCGCCAGCCATAGAGGCTCGAAAGCTCTGGTTGTTAAGCATAACGCAATGCATAGACCTGTCAGCCATAAAAAAAGAAAAAAAAAAAAAAGAAAAAAAGAAAAAAAAAGCGACTTGGATAACTTGTATGCCTTCTTTTGTATCAATGTACCAATTGTAAATAACGCTGATCAACCTTTGTAGAGAATAGTTTATACAGCATATTCTATTATTGCTGATTCTCAGTGAACTCTTGTTTTAAAAAAGGAAAAAAAGAAATTTTCTATTTACACCTTATATTTTGTTATGCTGTCGGCCCATGGCACTTTAACAAAACTGTGGGTTTTACGTAGCTGGTCAGTCATGGGGTATATTAAATAACTGTTGTTGCACAGACAAGAATTTGCACCTGCTCATTTGTCCTTTCCTACTACCGATTTTAGAATCTTTTCCAGAAAAATTTTGAAGAAAGCATGTCCAATCATTCTAAACAAATGCCACACTTGTGGAGTGGGTTTCTTTTCTACAATCCATATTTTGTAACACTAAGTATTTTCCTTCTTCGTCCCGCACCTTTATGTATTAGCACTATCAGATAGAGTTCATTCCATGCCTGTGATATTGTAAGCAGAATAAATGTCTAAAGTAGGTGTAAATAGTAAATTCTATGGCTTACAGTTTTAAAAGGAAAGAACAAATATGTATCTATTGATACTGCCATGGTTCCTCACCAGGCCTGGAAATATTCTCCAGTAAGCGATTGTATTTTTTTTTTTTTTTTTTGTAACATGGCTTTGTAAATAAAATAATTTATATGTTTGTAAAACAAAGTCTTCGGGTTTTCATAAAATTTAAATTTTTGATATCGCTTTTTTTTTTTTTTTTTTTTTGCGGGGGTAAAGTATTCTCACCAGAAGAGCTTTCCTGCTAGACCTGTGTTTGAGGCAGGACACGACTGTGGATTCATTCAGCGAGTACTTGGAGAGCACCGTCTCTGTGCCTGCCCCTGAGCCAGGCACTCCATGCTCAGGGGTGAGAAACACGATCCCAGCGGCTGTCTGGAAGCAACCCAGTGACGGGGAAAGCAAATAAATACACACATGGTCAGATGAGTAATTACAGATTGTGGCAAACGCTATGGTGGAAAGAACTGAATTCTGTGAGAGAAAGTAACAGGAGAGACGTTTAAGATGGAGAGGGGACAGCTGTCAGGAAGTTCTCTCTGAAGAAGTGAAGGCAGGACGCCTAAAGAGCATCCATTGTGGACAGACCCCAGGGGCAGAGAGATGGACAGAGGGCAGGGACGAGGCCACAAAAGGCCTTTAGGGAGTTTTAATTGTGTGTCAGATTCAGTGGGAATCCTTGGAAGGGCTTTAAGGAGGACCGCGGTACTGTGATCTGTTGAAAGGGCACTCTAGCCACTGTGTGGTGGATCAGTGGGAAGCTATTGCAAGAGACAAAGTGAAGGAGAAGATCAGTGTGATCGAAAGATGATGACAGTAACTATAAAAAGAAGTGTGTGCCAGCCTGGGCAATACAGAGAGACCCTGTCTCTAAAAAAAAAAAAAAAAAAAAATTAGCTGGGCACGGTGGCTCACACCTGTGATACCAGCACTTTGGGAGGCCAAGGCGGGCAGATCACCTGAAGTCAGGAGTTCGAGATCAGCCTGGTCAATGTGGTGAAACCTCGTCTCTACTTAAAAAAAAAAAAAAAAAAAACACATTGTTGTGATTACCTGAGAGAATGTAAAGGGAGAAAAGAAGAGAGATTGGGTAGAGCCAGAAAGCTGGCAGGGAACCCTAAGATGAAGCCCTTCAAAGCAAAGAGTGACCCCAGCAGAAAGTGGTTCCCTGGAAGCCAGGACTGTACATGTTTTGGGGAAGGAGCAGTTAGCTGAACCAAGTGTTGCTGCAAAGTGGAAGACAGGGATGGCGGCGTGTCTAGGGCTTAGCAACGTGGCGGTCATTGGTGAATTATTAGTTTCCTAGGGCTACCATGACAAATGACCACAATATGCTGGTTTAAAGCGACATACATCTATTCTCCCATGATTCTGGAGACCAGAAGTCCAAAATCAAGGTGTCCGCAGGCTGCATTCCCTCCCAAGGCTCTAGCAGAAAATCCTTCCTTGCCTCTTCCAGCTTCTGGTGACTGCTATCCTTGGCTTCCCTGACTTAGAGACACAACCCTCAAATCTGCTTCCACATTCACATGGCCCTCTCTCCTGTTTCTCATATGTCTTAAATCTCCCACTGCCTTTCTTTCACAAGGACACCTGTTATTGAACTTAAGGCCCACCCTAAATCCTGGATGATCTCATCTGGAGATGCCTAACATCCACAAATTCTGTTTTTCCAAATAAGGTCACACTGGCAGGGTCTGGGGGTTAGGACATATCTTTTGGGAGCCACTATTCAACATATCACAGTGGCCTCAGCAAAACAGGTGTGACAGAGTAGAGTTGGCATGGGAGGACGGAGCGTGGGCAAAGCCAGACTGGAGTGGTTTGGAGGGTGCGTGAGAGCTAAGCAAGGGAATTCCGTGTGCAGACAGACAAATCCTAAGAAGTTTAGACAGCCCAAGGGAGGCTTTGGATTTTGTGTTTTTTGTTTTGTTTTTCGAGGGAGGAGAGACCAGATTATAATCCATATGCTGGTAAGACTGAGGTAAATAGGAGAGGGAGAGGTTAAGAAAGCAAGAGAAAGAGGTGTGGTATGATTAGGCTTTGTGTCCCCACACAAATCTCATCCTGAGTTATAATCTCCAGAATCCCCACCTGTTAAGGGAGAGACCAGGTGGAGGTAATTGAATCATGGGGACGGTTCTCCCATGTGAGTTTCCTGATAGTGAGTGGGTTCTCACGAGATCTGATGGTTTTATAAGGGGCTCTTCCCTCCCACCCCCGCGTTCACTCAGGCACGTCTCCTTCTTGCTGCCTTGTGAAGAATGCGTCGTGCTTACCCTTAGCCTTCCACCATGATTGTGAGTTTCCTGAGGCCTCCCCAGCCATGCTGAACTGTGAGTCAATTAAACCTCTTCCCTTTAGAAATTACCCAGTCCCAGGTAGTTCTTTATAGCGGTATGAAAACAGACTCATACAGGATGATTTAAAAGAGAGTTATCTGACTAAAAAAAAAAAAAAAAAAAGTCCTTGAGATGGCAGGAGGGAGATACTGGCCTTTGTAGAAAGAGGGACACCTCTAAGGTAATGGGAAGGAAGTCAGCTCATAGATTTATTACTGGGAAGATGAGGGAATGCCCGGCTGATGGCTTCCATTTTCTGAGTGACCATGAGACAAGAAGAATGTGTATGAGAGCTTGGGAGAAGTTTGAGAAAAGTAAAGAAATAATTAACAGCTGGGCTTAGTGGGTCACACCTGTAATCCTAGCACTTTGGGAGGCCAAGGCAGGTGGATTGCTTGAGTCCAGGAGTTCAAGACGGCAACATGGCGAAACCCCACCTCTATTAAAAAAAAAAAAAAAATTAGCCAGGGATGGTGGCGAGTGTCTGCAGTCCCAGTGGGAGGATTCTTTGAGCCCAAGAGTTCAAGGCTGCATTGGGCTATGATCAAGCCACGGCACTCCAGCCTGGGTGACAGCGCGAGACTCTGTCTCAAAAGAACTAAATTGCCAGACAGTGCTGAGAGCACATTTAAGATTCATAATCTAAGGTCCTGACATGGAGAAGATCATCTTGGGGAGTGGTTGGAGTGCCCGAAGAGCAGAGCAAGGCCACTCGGAGTCAAAGCTGTCAGGCAAACTAAGGCAGATTTTTTGCCATTTTGCCTCAGTCCCAAGTGAATATTTTCACTATGGTGCAGAACAGAAAACCAGAGGAAGCAGAACTGAAACTTGACACATAGTAGGCACGTTGAATAAATGTTTATAAAATTGTATTGCCCACCATCACAAAACGGCAGTGTGGCACTTCCTGCACCAAGGAATTCTTTTGCCCACCAGTTCGCTGAGAGCCTTGTCTGTGGCTGGCAGTCCGTCACTGTGCACTGGCCTGGGTAACATCAAGCTCTGTTGTGAAAGGGGCCTATACGTTCTGTTTTTTCCAAAGCCAGAACTCTGCGAAGCCTCTTTCAAAACTAGTCATAGGCCTAGAAGAACCATAGGAAGCTGGAAGTGATCTTAACTGTAGAACCCTCTTCTACAGGTGAGACAGCTTATTTTTGGTTTCGTAAGGGACTTTTTTTTTGAGACAGTGTCTCACTCTGTCGCCCAGGCTAGCACAATCAGGGCTTACGGCAACCTCGACCTCCTAAGCTCAAGTGATCCTCTGGCCTCAGCTCACCGAGTAGCTGGGACCACGAGTACATGCCACCACACCCAGCTAACTTTTTGTATTTTTAGTAGAGATGGGGTTTCACCATGTTGCCCAGCCTGGTCTCAAACTCCTGTACTCGAGCTGTCCACCCTTCTTGGCTTCCCAAAGGGCTGGGATTACAGGCATGAGCCACTATGCCTGGCCAAGACTGAGACAGTTCAAATGAGGTACTAAGACCTCACAGCTGGCTGTTGGTCAAGCCTAATTGTTCTTTCAACACAGTGCTCTTTCCATTGTACTTCATTTCCTCCTGTAGAAAGAAACTCTACCAGCCAGGCGCAGTGGCTCACACCTATAATCCCAGCACTTTGGGAGGCTGAAGTGGGTGGATCACTTGAGGTCAGGAGTTCAAAACCAGCCTGGACAACATGGCAAAAACCCATCTCTACTAAAAACACAAAAATTACTTGGGCGTGGTGGCATATGCCTGTAATCCCAGCTACTTGGGAGGCTGAGGCAGGAGAATCGCTTGAATCCGGGAGGCGGAGGTTGCAGTGAGCCGAGATCTTGCCACTACACTCCAGTCTGAGTGACAAAGCAAGACTCTATCTCAAAAAAAACAAACAAAAAAGAAAACTCTACCCACAGACTGTTCTTCCTATACCACTGTGAGTATTTCCATAAAGGTGTTTAAAAATTCAATGTGTCAGCCAGGCACGGTGGCTCACGCCTGTAATCCCAGCACTTTGGGAGGCCAAGGCGGGTGGATCACCTGAGGTCAGGAGTTCAAGACAGCTGCAACATGCGTGAACCCATCTTACTAAACAACAAACTAGTACAGCGTGGTGGCAGGCACTGTAATCCCAGCCATTTGGAGACTGAGGCAGAAGACTCTCTTGAACCAGTAGGCGGAGGTTGCAGTGGAGCTGAGATTACACACTCGTACTCCAGCCTGGGGTGACAGGTGAGACTCCATCTCAAAAAAAAAAAAAAAAAGAAAAAAAAAAATTCCAATGTGTCCTCTAGTTGTTTACTTAGCGTTTTCCTCTCTTACTAACTATTTTTTCCTTGATTTGTTCTTTTTCATTGAGCAATAATTGCCTAAATGGATTATTTCTTGCGTTCTGATCGTGAGGCTATTCAGAGCGCGCGAGTAAGTTCCCATGTTTCTGATAAGTTCCAGGAATGGTATTTTAATAAGTTTATTCTATTCATCAATCTTCATAAGGCCATTAACTAGAAAAGGTAAAGAAGTAAGGATGCAAGAAACGCTGAATGCCTAAAAAACCAAATCAATCCTATTCAAGGCCTGAATACTGGAGAATCACTGTGGGAAGGTTGCAGCAGCTTGAGGTGCTGCATTTATTGAGATAATTCAAAACTTGACATCTCGATTATTAGTCATTAACTTTGAAGGTTTCTCCATTTTTTAAATGGTGGGACTTTTCTGGGTTTCCCCTTCAGCCATCAAATATTTTAGTAAATTTGTAAAGCGAGCGGAGGTCGATCACAAAGTGTTTGTTCTTTGACCTGAACAAGTAC